TCGATATTCCCATACTTTCTGGGGTATACGCTATTATAGTAATAATATTGGTAGCACAATGTAATATCATTGCACAAGAAAAATAAACTCAAGTAAACTTGGAATTTCAAAACAACATCGTTAAGCAAACAACTAGTAAAGCTTAAGAAATCCCCCATGAACCATAATAATAAGAACAGAGGCGATATCCCTTCTGCTGATTTGTTTCTATAATTACAATATATTTGAGGTAATTGTGCCCATACCCAACTTGACAATGATAATATGCTCAAGGAACTTGATATAAACGAAAATTGAGAACAAGTAAACATTTTCTATATTATAAATATGCGCCTTTTATGCGTTCTATTGTCTATAATAGTATCTCTAGAATGTTTCATAAAAAAACTAGAACAGTAAATTTGTTAGATAGTTTTGTTCATATATGACTGTGTTATCAGTATGATTCATCACCGCGGTAAAAAATTTCACCAATTACCCGATTAAGACATATATATCAGAATTGAACTTGTAGGTTAACATAGATTAAACAAGTAGTACATAGCATAAGGAAAACATATAATAATAATCTTATTGAAAGGAAATTGTGTTCATACTCATATATAATTATAATCATTCATTTATATCATATTTTATACAAGGTATCTAGGAATGCAACGACGACTCTTTCTGCCACACCCGTTGTCTTAACACTACCTGCTACACCATATAAGGCGGCAATTTCACTCTCTGAATTTGATTCATCCTTGAGAGCGACGTTTGTCACTTCTACTAGATCGAATATTAATTCGCCGATAACTGGAACGGTCAATCTGGTAAGTGCAAAGTGTAAAGCGGCAGGATTCTGCAATGTGGAAAAGTGCCAACCTTTAGAGCTCAAACACTCGCCAATTTTATAAATACTGAGCGTACTTCTATAGTTTTCAGTAACCCTAAATGCTACCACTGAACCTATAGGGTCCCCAATAACCTCTAGGTATTTACTTAACACCTCATGTTCTTTAATCGCACGCTTTAATTCCATTGAAGCTCCGACGATTTCACGACAAGATTCGGCGTAATTGTCCTCGCCAAAGTTAACTAAAGTTGCCCAGCAACCAACCATGAGCGCGCCAGGTCTTGATCCCGCTAAAGTAGGCGACCCATACATACCACCTGTCCAATCTGTCAGAATGTAATACTGGCATTGACGCAATGTAGAGTTACGGTACATTACGATTGAAGAACCTTTAGGAGCAAACCCGTACTTATGTGTATCACATGAAATTGAAGTAACCCCCGATAACCTGAAATCAAATTTTGGAATTGGCCTATCACCATGAACTTTCGATTTCTCTAAAAATGAGACAATAAATGAACCAAGACAAGCATCAACATGTAAAGGAATTTTATATTTAACTGCTAATTTAGATAAGGCCTCAATATCGTCAATAATACCATGTGGGAAATTTGGAGCCGATCCTACTAACAAAACAGTATTTCCGTTAATTAATTTCTTAACCTTTTTAACATCAACCTTGAACGTCACAGGGTCCAAATCAACCTTATGTAATTTCATACCAAAATAATAACACGCCTTTTCAATGCCAGCATGGACAGTTGTTGGTGCAATGATTTCAGGTTTTGAAATATTCTTGTAGAGCCTTCCATACTCTCTTGCAGATAAACCAGTCAACAATAAGGACTCGGTACCACCAGAAGTAGTAGACCCACATCCTTCATCTGGTGCATTAAATAAGCGCAAAACCATAGAAACAATTTCGGATTCCATTTTACGAACACCTGGAAATACATCAGGGTGTAACTGATTAGCAATGGAATACTTCTGGTACGCATCTGATTGTAAATCCAATAATTCATTTCCTCCGTGGTACACAGCTCCACTTACTCTACCATTGTACCAATCAGAGTGTTTCAAGTCTTGCAACTTGTCCAACTCCTTTGTCACTATTGTAGCATCCAATCCCTTTTCTGGTAATGATTTAAATTGCATTAAACTTTCATCATTCTGCATCAACTCCTCTTCAATTTTCTTGGTAGTTTCTGATAGTTCTTTATCAATCTTTTTCTTTATGGGTGGGATGGAAAGTAAAAACTGGAAACCTCGTTTACTTATAGCATGGATAAATATTCTAATAGAAGCAATTATACCACGGCCTCTAATAAGCACAATCATTTGGCTCACATACAGATACATCAAATAGATGAATATTGCATCACGTATAATAGCCAAGTATCCCCATACGCCACAATATGCATTTATATAATAGGTATTGATATAATCTTTCAATTTGTTGTACGTATAGAACGCATTGATTTCCACTAAATACATAAATTCATTAAAACTTTTTGGTATATATGGGGTTCCATATTTCTTGCTATCCAAGAACCAATCAGTTTCAAATAATGCATGCATTTGATCTATATTTCAGAGTTCAATTATATATTTCTGTGTTTAGTTCTTTTATATATAATATCTTACAGGATACAAAAAGAATTTAAGTAGCTCGGTGAGTCCGGGCCAATTCATCGGATTTATGTTATTTGACTAAATAAGATATATTCAGAATGGCGTCGATGCTCTACTTATTCTATTGGTAGGCCTGCTACTTGAACCATTAGACGTACTATCAATTAATGATGTTCTTTCTTTAATTAGTTTGTCTAGTTTTTCATCAAAGAATCGTAACATAAATTGGTTTTCGTTCTTCAATTTATTCAATTCCACCTCATGGTTAATGAGTTCGTCCTTATTAATCAACGAAGGTAATAGTTGTATACCAGCGCCATTTAGTTTTCCCTCTAATTTATTATTTGCGTCTCTCAAGGTTATCAATTTAGAAGATAACTGAACTGCATCCGCAGAACTATTCTGATATGTCACACTCAGGGTATTATTTTCTTCGCATAACTTTTCATATTCTGTAGTGGTGTTAGCAAATTCTTTATCCAATTCTTCAATAAGATTTTCCTGTTGTAATAAAGTCTTATTTAGCTCGTCCTCTACTTTAATTTCGTCCACTAAATTATTACGCAAGAACTGTAACTTAAACTCCAGTTGCAGCTTGTGTTCTTGAAACTTTTCTATTTCAGATTCACTTCTAGCCATCTTCTTGTCAGCGAAGTTCGCTTCATCGTTTAATTTTCGTAATTTTCTATAGTTATTACTTATTGCGTCCTCGTCTTCATCGATAGTTGATTGTCTCAAGCTTTCAGTCTGTCTCAATGAGGGCAATATTTCCTTGTGCTTTATGTCAATTGCTCTTTCAATTTGGCACACGCGGTCATATATGAGCTGAGCAAATTTTGATTTAAACGTCTTGTAGTTAAATACTTCTATTTTGTAATGTTCGTGATCAATTTTCATTTCTTTCATGTTTTTATCAACCTCCATATCATCTTTGCATAAATCCTCAATAAAATAGCCAAATTTATGTAAGTAATTAATATGAAGCTCCCTAGTTAGTTGATCGTCGGTATAGCTTAACCTCAATCTATCATTGAATTTCATCATTGCATTGTTATCCTCAAAGGGAAATCTCATAATATCCCACTTATAAAACCATTCCAACAATACTGTCATATTGCTTCCATAATTTTCTAAGAAGAAGTCATGATCATGATCTTCGTACGCATCGCGCCTATTAACAGCAAATGCATTCAATATTTGAAGCTTCCATTTATAGATTGGACTATCTTTGGAATTATTCAAGTTAAAGTTATTATTTACTTTCTTCTGTGGCATTTGAAGCATTATATGTTCAATTGAAAATTTTAAAATTGGTATAAAAACAGGAGTTTTTAACGGAATCGCGTCAGATTCCAATAATGTATCTAATCTGTTTGGCAAACTGTTGGACCTTATGAGTTCTATACTGGGGCTTTGGGTATCGAGGTTTAAATCAAATGAAAATATTAAATTGATTTGCAGATTCTCAAATGAAGCTGAATAATTATTGTACAATTGTTGCGATGTAGCTAAAGATAAACAAAGTGTATTTCCACTTTTCTTTGTATATGTAGTTGCCGAATGGTGTTTCCTTTTTCTTCCCGGTTCACCGTCTATATTATCTACCTCTCGTTTGAACTTACGCTTCCCGCTATTATCATTGTATAATTTTTCACTACTCAAATTGTTGTAATGCAACTTCTTACCTATAATTAGCCCTTCGATAAGCTCTAATTCTTTGACATTTTCCGCTACAACCAATATATGAAAATTATTATTTGCAGTATTGTTTAAACATTCATATTTCAGAATATTGTTGTCAATAAATGAATCAAGAAGCCTGTTGAATAATTGAAACTTTCCTGATAAACTTGCCAATCTTTCGTTCACTTCCAGTAACAATAATTTCTTTGGCATAAAATGGTCAACTAATAATGAAGGATGTTTAGTTATGAGTCTTAGCTGTTCAAATAATAGACTTACTTTATCGTATTTATTCATTGATTCACTGTGCGTATCATTCATTGCATCAAATTCAAGGCCCGTATTATCAAGCAAACTATTTATACTACTCCGTTCCCTCTTTGTACGTATTTCATCGAGTAAATCTAAGCTAAATATATGAATCACAGTCTCCATTAAATCCTTTTGTAATTGAGTGAGAACGGAAGGTAAATAATATACACCATTTTCTGGTTGGGTAATGACTCTATCAGTAGTTTCAGTTGATGGATCATTTTCATCTAATACTGATTGCATGTCATTATTCTGGTAGATATCATCTCGTGCGTCCTCTGAAAGCATGTCCATGAGATTCATTCTGCAATTTAGTTATCTCCTAGACTCCTAATGAAATAGTTGAATCAACAAAATTAATTTGTGCGCTCAAATTCGTGTAATTAATCTTAATAACATCAAGTAGCATACATAATCGATTAATCTTAGTCTGAAAAATAAAGAAATTGTTTATACCACTGAGGATCCGAGTTTACAAGAAATTGTTCTGTAATCTATTAAGTCTATAAATTTTTATACTAATACAATTTTAATTTCAACGTCTTCCTTTCTTCTTCAATACAACGTTTAAACCAACATTCCCAAGACTATTCCATACTGTACCATCTACCTTTTTTGGCAACTTCCTTCCATAAAGACATTGATCTACTAACCACATCCCTACTAAAAATTCCGGCTTGTTTAACGTTCCATCTTTCCTAAAATCAACCAAATCCCAGATAGCTTCTAGTGTTTGTTTAGGTAATCTGCTTCTTTTCCAAATTCTTTTTACCACAACTCCGTGAATTAATTGGGATGTTTCTGCTGATAATAGATTATGGAAATTTTGATGAACGACGTTAGCATTATCCTCATTCGTAGCCCTCGACGATAATAAAGCAGCCGTAGTAGGTACATCTTGATTCTCAATTTGCAGCTCAATTTCTGGTTTGCCATTATAATCAACGCCGATGAATCTAGTCACAGCACAATTAACGTACAATCCTCTGTTACTTACCCATAAACCTTCGTATCTCTTTCTTTCCAGCTCGGCGATATATGATAGCTCACTGTGGTTTTTCCATGGTTTATTCTCATTGAAAGAGTATTTCTTTTCTTTTCTCCTGTTTGTTCTCATCGTTGCCTTTAATTGAACCGGTTGTGGTTGATGGCCCATTACTGGAGTTGATGTTCTTGAAGGGGCAGCTATATTTTTTAGCTCTTCGGTAGCTGATTGTAGATCAGATTTTGATGCATCAGGATCATCCAGATTATAAATTGGTTTAGTTTTTTTATGTCTAAAAAGCTTTCTGGATTTTGCCTTAATATCTGGAAATATTGGGAGCTTATCATCTAAAAACAGTTTATCATTGTCAATTTTCTCCACGCTTGGAGTCTCAGACCCACTTAAATCACTTTCATCAAAATAGGAATAATCACTATCATCATTTACCTTAATTTGTGATTTACTAGATGCATCAGAATAACCACGATAATCGTCATATTGCACGCTTTGTCTTCGTGTCCCATTACTCGAAGCATCAGACAATCTATCATCTCCCTCAGTCTGATATCCATCACTTTGTTCCGTAAGTGTTGGGGAAACGGAATCATCCATCTCTGGTGGAGGTTTCCTTTTAGGTTTAAGCCTTGATGAATCTTCTTTATCGGGAGTTTGAATCCTTAGGTTCATAAAAGTTTTAGAAGTTTCGTTGTTACCAATACCTAATCTAGCACAAGCATGCAGTGATAATGGGATATTAATGGGAGAAACTTCCTTCTCTTCCTTAGTATCGTAGGTATCGTTGTAATCAAAATCGTCGTCTTCATTGGAGTAATTTTCACGTTCATCGTGCTGAATTGATGCGTTACTATCAGGATCAGGAAGATCCATATCAGTCCTAACAATCACTGGCGTACGCAATTGATCGTTGTCATTTTCCAGAAACGATGATGCAAAGGAAGAAGAAGAGTAATTATATATTGGTTGACCATAAAGCATTAATTGCTCTTCTGGATTGTTACTCTTCGATATTAAATTAATGATTTTATCCCTTTCCTCGGCTAGAGGTAATGATATTGTGCTATTGTCATGATGACTCGATATTCTCTTCAGGTCAATACTATCCCTTATTCCATTTAATATAAGTGCATTTTTCTGTGACATTTCTTGATTCTTTGAATTGGTTTTGGTTTTCGAATTAATCGAGTTTCTTACCAGGTCTAACATATCTTTAGGTTGAGTTCCCGTCGATAGCCTCTTAACGTTTACAAGGCCCGGAGATAAATCATTCGATATGTATTTCGATCCAATGGAATTTTTCACATTGCGTATCATGTCTTGAGGATCGTAATTCAATGAATGTTGTGAAACGGTCTTACGTCTCTCAACATTATTAAGCGTAGATAGAGGCTCGCCAAAATAATCATTTTTAGGTGGCTCATTCTCTAGGCTTTCAACCGCAAACGAATTATTATACATAGATGATCTTCTTAAAGCACCTACTGAATTAGGTGTCTCGACGGATTTACTAATTTTAGGTGTTCTTGGTGTATTTGGCGTTTTGCAAGTATTTGTTACGTTTGAAACTGTTGGTGTTGTTTTCTGGCCATTGTTTTCTGACGTTTGGCCTCTAGTCTTATCTGTTTGAGTCTGTGGTATCTGATTGCTAGGTTTTGCCTTGGTGGCCGAGTTTAATGCCTTCTTTTGTGTCTGTGGTGGGGCTGTTGTGTCAACTTTTAGTGGTATTCTGGATCTGTTATTAGGTTGCGGCTCTTCATTTTTTTTACTATTGATAGCCTTAAACGCTGCCAATGCCGCCAACTGACTTGTTGAGTTATTAGATGCCATATTTACTCATTAAGTACTAATTTTTAGAGCAATTCAAGAGAAATAACTATAGATAATAAGGCTATCTATCTAGGCAGTGTAGAAAATTACATGTCAGGTGTGCGATAATCAATGATTGTTCTGTTATGATGTAATGCTTGCTTGAAGTATTTATAGTGATATTTACAGATTATATGTAGTATTCTATTACATCTAACGTATAAACATATGAACTAAGTAAATTAGCTTCTCTTACCCTTGGAGGAATTGACAAAACGACCTTTTCCAACTTTCACACCTGAAGGTCTTATATTTTGTAGGGTAGTAAATGGAGAGACGTAGTTATCAGCACTACCACCACCAATCCATTGTTGCAACATCTTATCATTTTGTCTTCTTTGCCACTCGTCATTCTTCACAGCTTGACCATATTCTTTCTGATCTTCTCTCAAAATAAGAGGATCCTGTAAAGTTTTATGACGGTTTTGCTTGTTATGCTGGTAACCAGCCTTCCCTTGCAATCTTTGTTGGTTCTTGGACAATGGAGAAGGTAAGGTATATCTATCACCTCTCTTGAACCACTGGAAGTTTGCTTTTAAATGCGGGGTGACTTTACCTGTAGCATTATCGATAGAAACGGCACATCTCAATAAGGTATTACCACCACACTTTGGACAAAAATGCTTTGGTTTTCCATTTTTAGGAATAGGCGTCAAACGGAAGCACGCATAACAACGGTACATGTAATTACGGACTCTTCTTATTTGCTTACCGGACATGGCATTCATTAGATTAAGACCAATTTGCATGGCAACATTTTGACATGCAAAATCGCCGGTAGATAATGCAACTTTAATGAATGGACCCAGTTTCTCTGACGAGGAGGCTTCCTGGATCTGTTCATTATTATCTTTTACCATTTCTTCTTGTAAGTTTTCGGGCGTAATCCAGTCTCCATCGTCATCCTCTTCGTTGTAAGCTTCATCTAATTCTGACTTCTCGACCGCATCTTCTAATGGCGCTTCTTCCTTCAATGATTCTTGTGAAACAGGAACATCTGGTTCAACAATATCTTTGTCGGAGCCTTCAACTTGGTCGGTTGAAACAACAGATTCATCACCTTCTATGAGTTCTTCATCTAATTCTTTTTGTAACTGTGCTTCCCTTTTAGCTCTTTGTTTCTTACCTCCTCTACGACGCGGCTTCTTCTTGCCCGCATCCGCAGTTTGTGTCGATTCTTCTTGTTCAGATACCACTGGCTTTGATTCATCCTTTTTTTCAGTATTTGCAAATTTTTCAGATTCCGCTTTACTCTCTGCCTCTGGTTTCGTCTCGGCCTTCTCGTCTACCTTCGCTTGATGTACCAATACCTCTCCTGGATACTTTCTAAGTCTCCAGTCCCCATTATTTGCTTCACACTCTAACTCATACGCCAACGCAATAATATGCAAATCATTTGTCGATAATACAGCATAATCCCCCGTCAATTTTGCAAAGCTTACAACCTTTTGAATGTACTGCGGTTTTGGCTGTCTCACTTGAAGTTTATCATCCCAGATCAATAACTGTTGTCTGACATTATCATCCTTCAACTCACTATGTACACCCGGTGTGGTGTAGTAGTTATAGGCATGTTGCTGTAATGAAGACGCAGATTGCGTAATTAATGGACCAGCATCGAACACTAAGGTCTTTATCTTCTTGTTCCCGTCTATAACTCTATTAACTTCACTCATAATACTTGGTTTCAACTGTAAGCTGCAATACTTACCCTGATGGCATCTCTTATGCTAAAAAAAAAAATCTAGCAGCAAAGTCGTGTATGTGCAATAAAGTAGTTTTCATTATCATAAGCAATTTACTGAAGACTATAAAACAGCAGAGCAATTACAAATTCTTTATTTCAGTTTCATTTCATGTTTTCATTAATAAGCACTTCAATTGATAAATCAATCTATTATGTCCCAACAAGAGAAAATTATTTTGCACTGGTATGTATGAAGTTATTATTACTACTAGACGAGCTTATAAGTGTCGCATACTAACTATTTAAGGCTTGAAAAGTCAAGATCACACAGAATCTTATGGTTATTGGAAGAATTGAAACTCGAATACGAGTTAAAGGTATACAGAAGAACCAAGGATTACCGTGCACCACCAGAATTAAACAAGGTTCACCCATTAGGAAAATCACCTGTCATCGAGATTATTAAGCCAGGTAGATCCACGCCAGTTATCTTGGCCGAAACCGGATATATGATTGACTATTTGATCAGAAATTACGATACCGAACAAAAGTTGATTCCTAGTGATGAAGACGAAAGAGAATTGGTCAGCTACTACTTGCAATTTGCCGAAGGTAGTCTTCAACCATACTTGGTGTCATTGTTGGTCAACAACATGGCCAAGAAAAAGGCACCATTTGGGGCCGGATTTTTGGTTAACAAGGTGGTCCTGCAACTCAATAATTTATATTACGGGCCAGAGTTAATTAAGTCCCTTGACTTTTTGGAAAATAACTTGAAAAAGAACAACGGTAAGTACTTTGTAGGCGACAAATTGACCGGTGCTGATATTATTTTGAGTTTCCCTATATATGATAACGTATTCGGCGACCTCGAAAGAACAAGGGCGATGACTGGTGGTAAGTTTGATGTTGTTACCAAATATCCTACCATGAAGGCCTGGTCTGACATGATTAAGAAGGAACCTAACTTGATCAAGGCTAACGAACTTATCGACGCCAAGGTTGGTACATCGAAGTTGTAAGCTTTATAACCATCTAAGATTATGTTTATTTAAGATTAAGTATTTATTATATGAATTAATTAACATGAATTTCACAAGCCTTATCTTCGTAAATATGGGACGTAATCGAGACTACCCCGCATATTTTTTCAGTATAAATATATTCATCCATCATGGCTCGACTTACCCTTACTTGATCTATTGTTTAACAATAATGTCCTCTGGTGACCATGGTGATAGATTTATCTTGCATTGGTAAGTAATATACAAAACCAGTGAAGATTAAGAATAATATGCTAACTTTTTTTTAGGCTTGACCAGTCAAGAGCACATAGAATATTATGGCTATTAGATCTTTTGGGGTTAGAATATGAAATCAAAACTTACCTACGTCATCCAACAACCTGGAGAGGTCCATCTTCATTATTGAAGATACATCCCTCGGGAAAATCTCCAATATTAGAAATTATATTTGGTGATGGGAGAGAACCGTTAAAATTGGCCGAAAGTGGTTTTATAATACAGTATTTGTTGAAGAATTACGATCACGACAATTTATTGACTCCGGTGGACCCGAATCTACAACTCAAAGTGGATTATTATTTGCATTATACTGAGGGAACTCTACAGCATATCACGATAGCGTTGTTAATCAATTCTGTAGCGAAGAGTATAGCCCCACTCGGAACGAAAAGTGTGGTCAAGTTAGTTACGAAAGGAATCAATAATGGCTATTATGTTCACGAATGGAGGCTAAATATGCAATATTTGGAAGACCAACTAGCAAAGGAGGGGACAGGTTATTTCGTCGGAGACAGGTTATCTGGGGCAGATATTATCCTAAGTTTCCCAATCTACGAGAACGTTTTTGATAACGAAGTGCAGATTAAGGATATTACCGGAGAGAAGGGTGACTTGTATAAGAAATACCCACATCTTGCTGCATGGTGTGATAAAGTTAGAAATAATCCCCTGTACATTAAGATAACCGAAATGATGGATGAAAAGGTAGATAATTACATACGCAGGTCGTCTACCTCGAGTAAATGAATTTCTTTAAGTATGTTAGATAAAATATATGCATTTAATGGAAATTAATCTGTATTTCAGAGTTTAGTTTTGATTTTAAGTAACAGTTATGAATTTTAGCTATGTCTTCTATAATGTTAGCTACTGCGAATAAATAAATATACAAATAGCCTCTGGCGTTAAACCCGGCATGTTCTGTAATTATACCCAACTTCAATGCCGTAATGATTTGGATTTTCGATTAATATATTGCACTCGGATCTTCCATACTGTAATCAATCCAGCTAGCCATACAGTTTTGATCTGCCAAGTGGCCCCATCTACTAAATTGGCCAGATTCGCAACCAATAGTGTCAGGAGAATTAGGACAATTAACGTATGGGTCATGGTAATATCCTATATCTCTAAACCAGTGGATATCCTTGGTGTCGGCAAATAAGGCTAACCCCATAGAATGTACAGGCGCATCTCCCCAACGTTCATAATAGAAGTTTCCAGTAGAATCCAAATATTTGAACCACTCATTATACGCTTCACCACGGTAGAAATCCATATCACCAATTTCGAAATTTGACCAGAAATGACAAGTAGAATATCCATTCGCCTTTTTATTATTCTTGGGATTTTGTTGGTTCTCTAAAAGCCACTGAAATGCTCCATTCGGGTTTACATATTTATAGTTATCGCCCTTATTCAAAAATTTTAAAGTCTCCGGCCACAAGGATACGACAGTTTCCGAAATATCGTAGAGATTGATTGCAAAACCATAAACTTTCTTAGTTGCTTCCATATACTTAAAGACATCGTATTCCAAATCATTGTAGAAATGGACGTTTGGTTCAATACGCCAATAATATTGGTATTTCTTCAATTCTGGAACATTGTAGAAATTACCCAGGTAAAACCTACACATATTATGATAAGATCCCTTTTTTGCATACGAAACCCGTTGATCGGACAAGAGCTGCATAGCCTTCTCCTCCCGTTCGGTATCAATGTTAGATGGCTTCTTCCATAATTCACTTGGAATTGTCACGAATTCCATAGGGGCGTCACTTAATTTCTGCATTCGTTGCATAAATCTCTCGGTAAATGGCTCGTCGTTAATGAACGTATATGGATATCTGAACTTGGAATTAAATCTCGTTTCAAATCTTCGGATAGTTTTAGTTATAGCCAGTGCCTCGTTATTACGCACCAATGCAATTATTGTAGCATTTGCATGCTTGTATTTATCGATTTCTTTTTTTGATGGTGGTCTCATACTCTCAAGGTCAGCATCTTTTGGCTCATGGATTTCTTGTGCCATCACCTCTTCAAATGTTTTCTTATTCTTCTTTAGGATATCCTCCGGGGTACCAGTTTTCTTCTTGGGGTTCACAAACTTGAATTTGACATTATTGGGTTTTATTTTAAAACCATATTTGCTATAAGTATCAACATTTTGCAAATCAATGTCCGAAACATTCTGATTTAAATACCCAAAATCGAACTTCTCTGTAAGTTGTCGAAACCCCAGACTAATCATATCCCTATCTACATATTCATCTGTAGGTATTTCAGCAACATAAATGATTATTCCAAATATTAACACTAAATTCAAAGGTATAATTAATACAAGTAACGGTTTTGGTATTCTAAATGAGAATGCAGATATCATACTTGTTTCTCAAGAAATTTGGTTATATCTAACGTGAATAACTCAATAAATCATGCGTCTCAGATGTACGAATAGTATTGCTCAATTAATTGAAAGTTTATGTCTTCTGCTGGATCATTACTATCATACTATCATGTCGATTGTTAACAGATAAACCAAATGCACGCGCCTTGGTGCTACATATGTGTCAGTACCAAATAATGAAAAAATGGCATTATGGAAGACACTATAGTCTACTATAAGTCGTTATAGAGGAAGTTTCAGTCATTCATATATGCTAGTAGTTGGTAAGAAAGTGGGAACTTATAGGATACTTTCTACAAGTCCTATATTGTTGAAACGAACATTATTTGCTTCTCGTAGTAATCATAATGTAAGTTTATTGCCAAATAAAGAAAAGACGTTAGCCAAGTTCAGCTTTCCTGTTGCAACTTGTACTGTAAGAGACATTGATCGAGATATAGATAAAATATTGAAAAAGGGGTCTATTTATGTCACTTTGAATGGCCACATTCACAAAAAACCCAGAATCATGGCTACAAGAAGTTTCGCTGAACTCAGAGATTCCAACGGGGACATAACTCAGATCTTGATGTCACCAGAACATACTCCAACTAAATTATTTGATTTACTAAAGGAGACCACTTCAGAGGATTCTGTTAGTGTGAGTGGAGCTGTTCAGTTGAAACAAGCAAAGGCAGGAGAAGAAAGCAAGAAATGGGAACTAGTAGTTCAAAATTATCAGATATTGAATCATTCGAATTTAGATGCGGCAAGACTCGATAAATTGAAGCACACTTCACCGAAGGATTTACCGCCGCAATTCAGGTATTTGCAATTGAGAACTCCTTTCTACCAGAATGCCTTAAGAACTAGAAGCAAAGTTGCAAATTTGATTCGAAATATATTTGTGGAGAAACATGATTTTGTAGAAATTGAAACGCCACTTTTATTCAAATCAACACCTGAAGGTGCGAGAGAATTTTTAGTTCCAACTAGGCTGCATGATAGATTCTATGCTTTACCGCAATCTCCACAACAATACAAACAAATCCTTATGAGCTCCGGGTTCACTCGTTATTTCCAGATTGCAAAATGCTTTAGAGATGAAGATTTGAGGGCTGATAGACAGCCTGAATTTACACAGGTTGATTTGGAAATGAGTTATATTAATAATAGCGATCAAATAGGTCTCATTGTAGAAGACCTTATACATAATATTTGGAACAAAATAGCTATGTTACCTACCTATAGAGTGAATTCCGATGATCATTTAGAAAAAATTGATCTCGAAGATAGAAACACATTGGCTTTTTCTAAATTGAACTACATAGAAGCTTTAAGCAATTATGGTATTGACAAACCTGATTTAAGGTCATGCTTGAAATTCAAGGATATTTCAACATTTTTTCTACCTGTAAAAAATAAAGATAACTTTCCAGTTTTAGAGGTCTGTATTTTAAGAGGTGCACTTGAATCTTCTAAGAAATACAAGGTTCCCAGTGTTTTGACAGATGCTAATAACTATTCGAAACGTAAGCCTATAATCTTGGGTATTAAATCTGAAGAAGAGGCACAAAAGTGGTATCGAAAATTTGTGGATAAGAATGTTATCCAAAAAACTGCTGCATTTAATGAAACTGAATTACATGAATATCTTGGTTTAAAGGCTGGTGATATTTTAGCCATATCTACAAGGTCTGAATTACCTTATGAAAACCCTACCCCGCTAGGAAAATTTAGACAATTGTCAATTGCAGAGTATCCGAATAAATGGAAGAGAAAAATATTTGACAGATCTACCGGAGATGTCTTTGAAGAATATAATACAGAGGAAATATTTGTTGGTTCATGGGTTGTTGACTTCCCGTTATTTAATCCCGTTGAAATTTCAGAAAGTAATAATGCAGAATTTCCAGAGTATGACTTCACAAAATTCGAATCAACGCACCATCCATTTACCATGGCTAAACTAGAAGATTATGATTTACTAGCATCAGATCCTCTAAAAGTTAGAGGTGAGCATTACGATTTGGTTATTAATGGAGTCGAAGTTGGTGGTGGTTCAAGAAGAATCCATGATCCACAGTTGCAAAAATATATTTTCGAGAACATTTTGAAAATTCAGAACTACAATGAACTATTTGGCCATTTATTACATGCATTAAGTATGGGATGTCCTCCTCATGCTGGTTTAGCATTAGGGTTTGACAGATTGTGTACAATGTTAATTGGTAGTACAAGCATCAGAGATGTCATTGCGTTTCCTAAAAATCAATCGGGGATTGATACAGTTGTTGATTCTCCAAGCCACGTTAGTGACAAAACTTTGAATGAATATCACATTACTACAGTTGTGAATGAAGATGTAAATAGAACACCCCCCCTGTAAATAGACTTTAATCTAGATTTATTTTCACTATAATACATATATATCAGGCTTATTTCTAACGGTTACGGCCTCTTATCTTTGTCTTCTTATTATCGTTGTCATATCCATATTCAAACTCATTGTTCTTACGTTTATTAAAACCTTCTTCAGCCTTCTGTGCTCTCTCCTCCTTCATTTGCTTTTCTTTCATCATTTGCTCGAATTTTAATTCAATAGGTTTTTTCGCTCTTTCAGTATTATTTTGACCTTCATGTGCGCCTACGCCAAAGTATTCTTCTTCCTGATTTTTAACCAACAGCTTCCAGTCAAACTTTTTTCTGACAAATAATTCCATGGACCAATTCTTCCAAACCAATCTACCATAAGTACTTTCTTTTACTTTATGTGAGTCTGAAGCTAACTCTGATCCAATTCTATCCTTATACATATTAAGTAATACAGTGAAGTTCCAAAGTCTGTCGACTATATGGGAACCATATGAATTACAGGCTAAGTTCACAATTTCATTCTGGAATAAATTCAAAAACCTTTTTCTGATAATGAGAACACTCTTTGGTTCTCCTTCTGATGCTGGGATAACTACTAATGAATTTTCAACCACATGAGAAAAAACACCATGGTAACACATTTGAATAAACCTAGCAATTGGCAAAGCTAAAAAGTTTAACCAAGTACAGACAACAAATGAATGATCGTATTCCATCAATTTTTCTAAAAATAATGATCTTCTTCTTTCTTGTGCTGTTGGCCAATCATCTCTTGTATTACCTAATGTAGAACCAGTTAAATGTAAAGTATTCTCCAAAAATTCTGAAGATGTATCAGCGCTTGGATTATGTCTGTCATAATTAGGAGCGAATTTTACAAATAACTGCTCAATAAGTTCTTCTCTTCTATAGTTATCTCTGCTAATGGAAGCATCAATAATATTCTTACCTAATTCTAGATTTTGATTTTCATCAATCGAAATTAAACTGGCCAACTCTGGAATTATTTGATCCAAGATGAATAAAATTTCAACGGGTTTCAACTTGAATAATAATGCTTGAATAATAAATACACCTGTAGTTGATCTCTTGGATAACTTCAAAACTCTATCCTTCATATATAACTTGTATAATCTTTCAATGTATTTCATTCTTGCACCACCATTTCTAATAACAGATTCCAAGAAATGTGAACCCACTGAATCTGAAAGCAAATATTCAACGAATGCTTCCTCTTGAGGGTTTTTATCCGAATTTTCATTCAAAAATATTAAATGCCAGAACGTTCTCTCCTTATCTACTATACCTTCAACTTGGATAAGCAATTGCAAAACAGGGGAGGCTACCTTGTTAATCGCCAATTCTCTCATGTGTTTCATATCTCCCTTAGAACTAAGGCTATTACAAAGTTTTCTTAATTGATCTTTGAAAGAAGGTGGAGTTTGAAATGACCTATTAAAGTCATCATTATCCTTAATCTCAATCATTTTTCTTGCAATTTTAGACTTTTTAGAACGTAAAGTGGAATTCGATGTTGTTGTAGAAGGCAATTCTTTACCTGCAATAATCAAGATCAACAATCTTAAAACATGAGACGAATATTGATGATCTACCATGGTCCTCAAGTGTGGATTAAATTCATCCAACATTTTAACAAATAATGTTTCCATGGATACAACAGCTTCATCTTCCCTGTCTTTGTCTTGGCTTATCTCATCATCAACTTCACCTTCATCTTGCTTAAAATCATTAACTAATTCTTTTTCAATCAAAGCGGCCGCTCTAACTAGTAATGTCTCTAAAACATGCGACGAATATTTATGATGTGCTAATGCAACAAAGTGCCCAGAAAATTGTCTGAAGATATTCTTTAATTGTCTATCAGTCGCAAACAATACTAATCTTTCCATTAACTTGGAACAGATCTGGTTAGTGACAAGCTTTAATTCCTTTCCACGAGCTTCTTCCAACACAGATCTAATAAATCCTTCACGCTCTTCATCATTATCAAATGCATTAACATTTAAAGTAGATTCTGCTTGCTTGAAATAGTCAATTTCATTGGAGTCAACTAAACCAAAAAAGGTCGTCTTTAGAGCAGGGTTCAGTTCAACTTCATCGTCATTTTCTTTGACTTCACTTCTGTCATTAGGAATATAATCCTCTGGCTGAGTATTAACCTCCTTTGACTTTTTTTCAGCCCTTCTACCTCTAACTTTTGGTTGTACCATCGATATTCTTATTGATGTTTCTTGTTCTCTTCTTAGATGTAATTTTTTTGAAAATTAGCTGCTCATCACTAAATCAGACGGTCTGCATATAAAAAATTTAAGACTCTGTATATCTAGCTTTTTTCCTAATTTGAAGTTAATGGCCCAGTTATAACTTCATTGAAGACTCATATATTATATAGACTGTCTTCCATGTTGGATAATTTACATTATATTTATTTTTCAGGTTAAAATTTTATTTATTCGAAGACGGTTGGACATAAATACCTTAAACGAGATTTTGCATCCAAAAGATGAATATGAATTTAACAATCTTTGATACACACCTGTCTATTTTAGTAAAGGACTTTGAACATATTACTTAATAAAGAGTTAGAATGTTAGAAAATTGTTTAAAATTAAAATCTTTTTTTTTTAAAGATTTTTCAAATTTTGAATTATTAATAGATATTTGAATATTTTCATAAATGAGAATGAATTATGATTTGAAACTAAATATGTTAATTTGCCTTACTTATTTCTATTTACGCAATAGATATAATAGATGAAACGCCTTTTAATTGATCCAAATACCTACCTTTTCTTAGAGGATCAATTTCTATTAATTTATTAATGAGAATCTTTGTATTCTCATCCAAAAGCGTATCACTCGAAATGGAACCACCTACTTCTTCTCTTTTAATTAAGCCCTTAATTAAAATAATACTCTTTAAGCACCAGCAATTATCCAATCCTTGAACATTATCATCTTTCTCCAATGCATTCAATTCTTCGATTAATTTTAATTGTTCCCGAAGAATACCTTTGTAGCTTGCTTTTTCATTCGTAGAGTTTCGTAAATCATCCACAAAAAACTTATCAGTAATTAGCCAATATAAGTAAAGCCATACAGAAGTATCTTCTGGATCCATATACATACCGGTTTTGATCAATTCAAGATCATGAACCATGATACTATATGGTGATTGAAATAAATGACTGACATCAGAAAATTCCTCCTTATTATCCAACTCCTTGAGGCCCGAATATATTTTAGGAATAAGCTTTGTACGATTATGCCAAGCTGAAAAATTAGATATATTCTTATTAATTTTTGAGGTAGTATATTCGAACTCTTTGATATTTATTTTTAAAAGCGCCAATTCTTCTAAACTGGATTGACTATTATACTCTCTTGCAGCCTTTTTCTGTATATTTTCTACCAAAAACCTTCTGTATTGCCATCCGTGAAAGTTTCTACTATCCATTTCAAGTAACTTCGAAACGATAGCTAATTCAACATCCCAATTTGCTTCATTCGTAGCTTGTAACTGATTCAAGCACCATATACGATGGTTCCATACCCAATAACATTTGGGGAATCTCTTCAATTGGGACATTACGATTTTGAGATCGTCTTCTAAAGCTTCCTTTTTCTTAAGAATATTCTTAGAGAAAAGATCTAACAAAATTTCACGACGATAATTCCATACAGTATAAAACTCTGGATTCAACAATAACACACTTGTTGTTTTATTTAAGGCATCTTCTGTGTAGACCTTGTTACCTTTGTCTTGTAAAATATCAATGGTTAAATTTCGATAGTTTTCGATTTTTGTCTTGTCCTTTTCTGCTTTGGCTTTCTTAGCCACTTCAGATAATTTTTCTCTTTTAATACCGTGTTGCTTTATTTAGTTAGTATATATTCAATTAATTATTAGATGCCTTAATACATACCATTTAATAAGGTAGAATTATGGTGATATGAAGCCTTATCATATTTGGCGTGATTTCAAAATATTCTACTACGCGAATATTGATCTGTTTATAAAAGAAACAACGACATACAAGCTAATATTAATAGCGTATATCAATGACATCATCATCGTCACAGCTAGCAAAGCTTGCACTTAAAGGATCACTGAAAATTGTAGCTGATTACTTTGAATTTGCGATTAATAGTATACTATTCCAAAGAGGAATCTATCCACCAGAAGATTTTCACACGATTAAGAAATACGGGTTACCATTATTAGTATCTGCGGATGATGACGTTAAAGCATATATAGAGAAGATAATGCTGCAGGTGAAGAAATGGATATATGGAAGGAAAATTGGAAAATTGGTGGTAGTTATAATTTCCAAATCAACAGCAGAAGTAGTAGAAAGATGGGAGTTCAATATTGAAATATTACAGGATAATGAGAACAATAATGAAAGTGATAAACAAGAGGTCGAAAAACCGAGAGAGGAGAGTCATAGGGAAATACAAATGATCATTAGACAGATCACGTCGCTGGTATCATATTTGCCTCTTTTAGAGGTTGACGAATATACGTTTAACGTCCTAGTACATACAGATCCTAATTATGATACTGCTCATATACCACATGAATGGTGTGATATAGATGGAAACGCAAAGTTAATTGAAGGGAATTCAATTGAGCAGGTTAAATTTAAATCATTTAGTACCAACATCCACGAAATAGGTACGACTGTGAGTTATAAATTAGATGAAACTTAAATTAATTCTAAGCTATATAATCAATATATAATTGCATTTTAAATAGATGGTGAATCGACTTTCATTGATGTACCGGTATTATCATTTGTATTAGAATTGTTGTTTTTGTCGCTTTCGTCCAATTCCAAATTAAATCTTCTTCTTTTATTGCCCAAAATGAACCTTGCAGAACCTTTAGCACCAACGTTGTAATCCCAGATATTTAAATAATCATCTTGGCGTAGAGTAGTTGGATCGAGACAAGACTTTTCAGATAAAACCTTGAGATCGTTGAATCTCGATTTCAATTCCATAAACTTAAAGATCTGTTCTTTTCCAGTATCTAAATCGACCGTAGGCATAAAATTGTTTAAAATGGAAAAATTCATCTGGTGAACGTAATAATCCAAAATATAAAGTATGCCCTCGTTTACTAATGTTTCAGGGCATTTGAAATCTTTGTAACAGTCAATTCTTTCTAAAATTTCATTTAAATTATCTGGAGCAAGGTCTGTCTCTGACTTATTGTATTTTGTATGCAATTCTTTTGGTTTTAAATTTAACGTGATTATAATTATTGCTAAAGCAATACAGTGTGGAGGAATCATTAGGCATAACGGAGTTGACATGATGTCAAAACTTATTAACCAACTATGCATAGTGGTCTTGTAATCTATATCTAATTTTTTGCAGAATTTGACTACTAGCTGGTCGATCGATTGAACATTTGAACCATTCTTGAAGTCAAATTTAATTACTTGTAGTAACTTAAACTCAATATTCATTATAGTTTTTCTCTGTACATCAACGAAAGACGAATGCATGTGTATTTTATTTTCTTCATCAATATCACGTAATTTGTTTCCTACCGATTGTATATCTTTTAACTTCTTGATACAGTCTTCATTCTTAGAGGCAATAAACAAACACGCTAATGTGACTGTATAAGGATCTTTTTCTAAATCTTGATGAGACCCATCGTTCAATTCTTCAAATTTGTTGAAAAGATAATATCTTTGATAGTAATTCATGGTGGTCCCCAATACTCTTAAAGGAAATTTTAGAATCTTAATAATTTGAAACACATATTGATATATCTGGTGCTTTCTTTGATTATATGTTAATTTCTTATGTTCTGGTATAGTAAACGCATGCAAGTATTTCAACTCTGAACTTGTAAAATATGGTCTTGATACTTGAACAATAGTCGGAAAATTTTTAGTCGAGCTTACTCCAGGGGTAGGAGTATGAGTACTAGGGCTTTTCAAATCCGACATGCTTACCTATAAATGTTTCTTCCGTACTGAAAATGATAATGTTTTTCATACGTTATTTGAATTGTCAAAATGAAATCTTTTTGATAGTTGCCTGTATATAAAAATAAGTACTTCAGCTAAAAGATAATGATTGATCAATTTCATAGGTTATCATGTAGTATATGTGATATAGTGGAGTCCTCAACGATAGGGGAGGCTCGACAATGTGTTAGGTTGATTTTTGCTGGGAATTGGCGTTTTAAGAGTATAACTTGCTGTAGCTATATAGGATAATAAAATGTGAAAATCATGATAGGAGGAGACCAACCAAGGATATTTGCTATAATCCATATATTTAGTAAGGATATTTAAAACAATATTTGATACTATTTAAAGGAAATAAAAACAATAATTATTCTTATCCATACAAGTTATATCACTTAAGCAGAGAATGATAAAGAGAAACCTAACTTGTGGACTGGTTCAGCCAACTTCAAGGCATCGAAAGAAGCACCTAAACCTAATCTGACACCTGGTCTCAATTCTTGGGAGTAAGCAAGAGCAGTTAAACCAGAGTCAGCGATCTTAGCCTTGACGAAAGCGGTTGGGTCTAACTTGTACTTGGTAGCAAATTCAACGTTAACGTTGGAAGACTTGACAGAGTCCCAGGTGGCCTTAGCACCGGCTTCAACCAATGGGGAGACCTTGTGGTAGTAAGCAGCAGAGAAGATTGACAAGTTGTTGGTGGCGGTAGCAGCAACGGTGTACAATGGCTTAGCGTAACCAACACCTAACGAGTATCTGTTAACCTTGGCAGAAGCAATGTCGTAACCTAATTCGGCACCGGCGGTGAAACCATCGTGGCCAACAGACAAGTCAGCTAAGGCAATTGGGCCCTTCAATAAATCAAAAAATAATCTGGCATTGACGGCGTTTTGTTGGTAGAAGAAGTTCAATTTGGCGTTTCTTGGACCGTTTGGAATCACAGAAGTAACCAATTCACCCTTTAAACCCGGGGTCAATAATTCCGATAACTCGATCTTGGTGTCTAACGAGTTGGCGTTGTTCCATGCTTGAGTCAAAGTCAATCCCGATGGTTTGTCGGCGTACTTAGCTTCAATGGATGCAGCAATAGAGTTATCTTTAGCAGTCTTACCCTTGACGGTGAAACCAACTCCATTTGGTGCAGTAGATTTGACATCAACTGCGGCTGTGGACAAGTGGAAGAAATCCTTGTTTAATAAATCGTTACTAGATTTTTGAATATCGGAGAATGCTGGTGGTGCCATTTTCTACTGTTAGTTAATTGTTCAATTGTTAGTTATCACTAAATCTTAGCTTTAAAATTACAATTTAGAAGAAGAAGAAAAAGAAAAAAAACAAAAACAATCTAATTTTTGTTGGTTATAAACGCCGGCATTAATTATTGGTTGGTGAGTGTCTCATCAAAAAGTGCACTATTAATTTTTTGAATGTTAACAATCCATGGCCATTGGGTCACTCAATTTAAAGAGGGGGCCACACCTTCGATTCTACGAATAACACGGGACCATCCGTTTAGGATTGCAAATATAGTGTAGTCATCGACACCGTAGCATTGTACAAAACTAGTGTAGGATGCATCCACGTTTAGTTTTAGCATTATGTCATTGGTTGGGTCTTGGGGCATGTGATCTACACTATATAGGCAATATTGTAGATACCAGCCCGATGATGTTTGCGATGGAATGTACCTGTAGGACAATTGGGAGAATAGATGATGGTATTAGTGCGGATATGGAACTATTTACTGATGGAAGGACGGTCCCGTAGTGGTACAGTAGATGTAGAGAAGTCAGTAATAGATGTGATGGGGAACCCCGGGTATTAATGGTGCATGGGTGTATAATTGTGTCAGGTGTGCGGATGTATTAGGCGAGCCTAATACGACGACGAAGATACGGACGTCAAAATGTAGAGAATGTGACGAGGAATGAGGTAGAGATGTAGATGGAGTGATATGTTGACGAGGAGGGGTTATGTGGTGTTTTTGATTGATAAAATGGCGGGTACAGCCGTTTTGGCTCGTTTAATTCGAATGGTCGGGGACCATAGTCGGAACGTGGATCACAAATAGAAGATAGAATATTCAATTGGTAGTATGTAGCCATATTTAATAGGTGGTACATAGCCATATTCAACATAACTAGTGTATTCTGATCTTATAATGGGAAAATAATAGATGTTTCAATCCGATAGAGGGGATGCATTCTGTATGTCCGGGGTTAGTGCGCTTGACTGCGAAATGGCATTTACCTAGTAATAGAGCCACAAATAGTCGTTACCGTTAGTGGGAGCGTGTACGATTATGTTTCGGGGTCCCAAGTACAACACAATACCCAATTGGAGTAGTTCTTGACACCATTTGTACTAATTAATGATGAAAACGCGCCCTCTATCCGGCTACATGAGCTAACTACCAGTAAACCTGTTTGAAAATGTTCTATTACAACTATACGTGGGACACTATTAAGGGTATTCCTTTCTTATGGGCACCGGTATGCTAGTATGTTCCAATGGGTAAAATGTGCAACCCCGTAAGGTGGTCCAACGCACTGTACATAGGCTGACGCGATAATTTAATTAAATATTTTGATTTCACGAGTGTAACTAATAATTCTGTCATTACGATCATGACCAGCAGTAAGTATAAGTATACATGGGGTATAGTGTATTGTAGAGAGACGAACCAGATCCTTCTATTAAACAGAGAAAAGCACCCGTGGATGGGCAGATGGAATGGGGTTGGTGGGAAATTAGATCAAGACGAAGATCAATTGACGTGTATTATAAGAGAAACCTGGGAAGAAACCGGATTACATTTACCGCAATATGAGCGTCGTGGTGTGATGACATGGAGTGAAAATGGGATTGATCTTGGAGGAATGTATCTTTTTACTGCGATTGTTACAAAGCAGGAAGTTGAAAGTTATCCTACGCCTAAGCAATTCTGCCACGAAGGTATATTGGATTGGAAGAATTTGGATTGGGTTATGCATCCTGATAATTCAGGTGTTGTAGACAATGTCAAGGTAATGCTAACAAATTTGTTCGATGCCTCTGAACGGTCGTTATTCGTTACTAAGTATCAGGATGGAAGACTAGCTGGGGTGGACTACATGCCCAACGGGCATTGATTTCAAAGATCTAATTAATGATGTACGACGGCCATGATAATACGTTCTATGTAATAAGCTTTATTAATAAATGATATACAATGCTAAGAGCGCTAAACTATGTAGTCCAAAGACGAGCAGTTCCGTCAGCACCAGCACTAAATAACCAGGCTTCCTTTGGATGCCAAACTAAATCCAAAACACCAAGACTATTTATAATTTTGTGGCCAGTCAACTTCTTCAATGGCACCAATAATGGATTGGTCATTAAATCATCGTAAACCGTACCATGGAACACATGAATCGAACCATCATCTGATGCGGATGCGAAAAGTGGTAAGTTGGCTTTATGGAATTTGATGGATCTAACTGCCTTATCGTGATAACGTAATGTCTTGTAAGGAGTGGACGATAAATCCAAATCATGCCATAAAACTCTCTTGTCATAACTCGATGCTAACAAATTATCACCTCTTGGGTGGATATCGATGTTAGACAACCATCTTGCGCCGGGCATTAATTTTTTAACTAATACTTGTTGTGCTAAATCGTAGATTCTAATGTAACGTTGCGATGCAACAAATAATTGTGGCTTAAATGGATGGAATTTGGCATCCATAATAATACCTTTAGATTTCTTAAATGGCGATTGAGACAAATGTTTTGATAATTGATGAATCAATACTGATGAATGACCACTGTCTGGTGATACAGTAACAAAGTAATCACCCTTTCTATGCCATGAAATCTTCTTTACTGTCTTACGACATTGGATTATAGCTGAAATACCTGCTTGTGATTGTTCTGTATTTGGTGTAAACCACTTGCAAACATCTTTCTTCCCGGCATTACCATCAGCTTTCTCTACTTCCTCTTCATCCTCATCATCGGAGTTAACCTTAATATTACTATTCTTGGTCTTAGACTTATTACCAAATGTATCGTAACCCCAACCAGATTCAATACGTAATCTACCATTGTTTTCAATGTCGAATCCAAAAATTGGTGGTACAATAAGGTAAATATGTTCACCAGCGATAGCAGCTAAAATACCTGAATTACTGTCGGGATTCCATTCTAAACTCTCAATGTTATCATCAGTATTATCATCAGCAACAAGGACAGTTTTATAGACTTGTCTACCAGTCAAAATTTCCCAAATACGTACTGACCCATCATCAGAACCAGTTGCTAACCACAATCCATCAGGACTGATAGATAAGGTACGTATCTTTCCTGTATGACCTTGGAAAACTGTGGAACAACGGATTGGGAAAGGTCTCAAGTCCTTTGGAGATGGCAATTCAGGAATCAAGGAATCTGGATCAATGTTTAATTTATTATGACGAGTTCTTGGAGCTAAATATAAGTCTAAACATCTTTCGAATCTCTCTCTTAATCCTTCTTGGTAACCTGGAACCTTTCTCAACGAATTGTACTTTTGCGGAATAAAATTTTTATCTCTGTCTTCAGGTTCCATTTCTAACCATTTTTTCTTTTCTTCCTCGTCCATCAAGTATTCTTCTGGTGGGTTATAAGACTCTTCATTAGTAGGAGGTGGTAATTTTGGAGCTCTCAAATTCATTATATGATCGTTCGTCTCTGTTTCATTATCATTCCATAAATCGAAATTGTACTTCTCTTCTTCTTGTTGTTCTTTTACCTTATTAGGAGGAACAATTCTACCTTCCCTTATTGCTCTCACTATTTTCATAACTTTCTTGGCTTCATGCTTAGAAGGAACGAATCTTCTCTTAGGTTCTGGAACAGCCGTTAATGGCATTACCTCAGTTTTTGATGTGAACCATTCAATTGTTGGTTCATATGGATTAATATTTTCATCAGTACTTTCTTGCGCTTGAATCTTTCTAATCAATTCTAATTCGTCATCTGTAATCTTTAATGATGAACCAGTATTCTGATCGAACAAACCAGTCCAGCCTTCAGGTAAATCAATGGATTCCAATAATTGGTCCAACGCAGAACCTTTAGCAGGTCTCATGATTCTCTTACCATTAATATCATAACCTATATGAGGCATTTCCTCGTATGCACTTAACGGAACATTACCAATAGTATTGAAGTTCTCGTTGTCACTATCATCACTATCATAGATTGGGTTGATTTCTGGTTTTATAATTCTTGGACGTCCATCTGAGAACTTTGTATGCACTTCATTCTCTTCATCTTCAGTTGCATTAGAATACGATCTAATCTTAGTACCAGATAATTTATCAGTGATAGACGCAGTCTCATCTCTTGGTTCGTCTGAAAATTCTTCAGAATCAACATTACTGAGATCTTCCTCTTCGCCTAATAACTCGTTAAATTCTTCATCTGAGTCCCCTTCTAATTCCTCTTCTTCGTCGTCTTCCTTGTCTGCATCATCAGATTCTTCGTCCTCGCTAGCTGCATCATCTAATATTCCTTCAACTTGTAATTCTTCATCCGATGAGCTTTCTTCTGCATCTTCTACATCCTGCTTTCTCTTTCTCAGCTGTTTCTCAACAACTGTCTTTGGCGTTTCAGTAGCCTTACTGTTACGAGCCATCCTTTTAAATCGAACTGTAGTTTCTTTATCCTGAAGAAATCAAATAGGTCTTTATTAAAGGGCCATATTTTTTTTTTCAGTACTCATCTCGAGATGGGCACGTGATTTTATGGATGTGTTCCAAAAGTTTATCTATGTACTTGTATTACACTTGATAAACCGTCTTTCTAACACTACAACGTTTTGTATTCATGAATGCCATACAGAAAATCAATAAGATAAATCAGAAGGAGCTAGAAAATAATGTCAGCGATTCCGCTTCTTGGCATGCCGATTATAAAGATACTTCATACATCTACATTGGTTTCTTACCATTCGATCTAAATGAAATGGACATAGTCAAAATATTTTCACAGTATGGTATACCAACACATCTTAATTTAATGAAAGACAAAGAAACAGGAAAATCTCGAGGATTTTGCTATTTAAAGTATGAAGATTATAAATCGTGTGTGCTAGCAATAGACAACTTCAATGGTATACAATTACGAGATAAAAAGATCAAGGTTGATCATGTATATTATTATTTGAAAGACGGTCAAGATGAGAATGATTTTATTATTGATTACAGTGAAGCTGAAAGAGAATTGAAGGAAATTGAGGATGATTCCAAGAATAAGGAGACCAAGTTAATCAAGGGTAAAAGTGCACCTGATGATCTCATGACGGAATATGTAGAGGACCAAGATGATCATGGTGAATTTGATGACCCAATGGCAAATTACCTAAGAAACAAAGGAGACGAAAATGACCAATTTATGGATCCAATGGCGACCTATATTGGGAGTAAAGATGATAAGCATAAGAGTAGTCGTCATAAACATAGGCACAGGCATAGAAGCGAAAGAAGCAGAGATAGAAGCTCAAGGGAGAAACGCTCAAGGTATAAAAGTCCATCAAGTCGAATCCATAGAGATAAGAGTTCGAGTCATAGAGAAAGAAGTCCATCAAGTCATAGGCATAGAAACAGGAGCCTGGCAGATGACAAGGAAGTACAGAGAACTCAATAAAAGATATTGCCGAACAAACTTTGTTAGATATTATTACAGAATAGGAGCAAGACTTAATTACATTCTTTAGAATGATTTTGATTAATATAGGTATAATTATACAATAATAAATAAGATAATTAATACACAGTCCTTATTGTTTCTTGACTTTATGATCTATATAGTAATTGTAGAAGCTGATTTTTTGATTAATGTTCAAATCTTGGCCTATCAAGTTTAATTGGCCCACTTCGAAGCAATGTTTCAGTAACCTAAAATCAAAGGTATCTTTTGATTCAGTGGGTGCATGTTTAAAGATCTTAGCTCTAATAGAGCTGTTTTTATTCAAATTTGTCAACAACCTGACAAAATATCTCCTTTTCGAAACTATTGGCAATGGAGTGGTTAAATAACCTGGTTGAATCTTTAAAATTAATGTTTTGAAATTGAAAGCCGTCTTCGGGATAGCAACAAAGCTATCCATAAATGGCAATATGGACTTGTTATTAGATGGAGTGCCCTCAATGAAACAGAATACTAGCTTATCCTTCAAGCTGGAATAGTTGCCGATTTTAATAGTGCTGGTTGGAACACCAATGTTGGTAGATAAGGTATATCTAATAAGTCCCCAAATACTATATTGATATAACTCACCTTCCTTATTGGGGATTAATATTGCTATTTTGCTCCAATTGGCATTGGATAATGCCGCTAAGATTAAACCATCAATTGGAGACTGGTAGTTAACGACTACAAAATCACCCACGGTGGGCTTCGTCGCATTAATTTCGTCAGTTCTTGATTTCTTGACCCCATCAACCGTCAAGTCATAGTTCCTGAATCCAAATAGCACAAATATTATAAAGCGCCCAATAGCTGGGAATGGTAGCAAGAAATACACGCCTAATGCAAGCACGAAAATTGGCATCTTCATTAAAAAGGCAATCGCCTTGGGTACGATCATAAACAGCGTCGCTTGTTCGGGGGTAGGCATGAACGGCGAAATACCCGTGCCCTTATCTCTCCAATTCGAAAACTTCTCCATTCTGTGTCGACGTCTATAACAAGTTGGCAATTGTTAGACAGAGGTTACACTTTCATGTTGACACCAAATGTCGTAGTCACAAATGTCGCGCAATTATTTTCTGATGATCTTCCATCCCGTATCGATGCCCCTAATACACCACCAAAAGGTGCTAGTAATACGCCAATTTCCCTCATCAATCGCTTCTCTACATCTCTCTAGAAATACATCCATACATTTACCTCATTAACTAAATAAGTAAAACTAATATACACGGATAAAGACTCTTTACCCCCTGAAGTGAACAATCAAGCTTATAATTCTTGAGAAGCATTACCTGCCTTGGCCTTCTTAGCTGGCAACAAGGATTGGTGAATGTTTGGCAAGACACCACCTTGGGCAATGGTAACGTGTCCTAATAACTTGTTCAATTCTTCATCATTTCTGATGGCCAATTGCAAGTGTCTTGGGATAATTCTCGACTTCTTGTTGTCTCTAGCAGCGTTACCGGCCAATTCCAAGATTTCGGCGGCTAAATATTCCAAAACTGAGGTCAAGTAAACTGGAGCACCAGAACCAACTCTTTGTGCGTAGTTACCCTTTCTTAATAATCTATGGACTCTACCGACTGGGAAAGTCAAACCAGCCTTAGCTGATCTAGAAGTTGATGCTTTTTCCGAAGAACCGGCTTTACCTTTACCACCTGACATTGTAATTAATTTGTATTAGTTTATATTATAAATACTTAATAACCAAAAATAAAATAATTTCCCTATCGACTTGATGTGAATTACCAACGTTTATATACTAATACTCACTAAAACCCGCACTGCTTGCTGTATACACACCGATGTTTGTTTTTGTTATTATGGTTCGCCGTCGTCGCCGTCGAATCGTCCCCGGTTCCTCGCGCAATGATATATTCTCATATGTACGCATGCGTGATATTCATTACGCCTTTTTCGATACATGCTCACGGTTACGCAACGCTCCCCGTAAACCACAGCACCGCGCGCGCCACCGCGACCAGACAATAATATCCCATAGTATAGTATACCAGAGTATACCGTAATATACTCTGGAGACTCGCGGGAGACTCGCGGAAAACATACACAAACAAACACTGGCGTAAGCCAGGTGTTACCCTACCGGAGTCTGGAGACTCCCTAACAATCATTCATTCGCACTATCAATGAGGGCAAATTGTATATAAATAAGCGTAAATCAGCAATTGAGTAAAAAATAGGAAATTTAGAGGTATCAATTGAATATCACAAATATAATTGAATAGATACAATGGCACCAAAAGCTGAAAAGAAACCTGCTTCCAAGGCACCAGCCGAAAAGAAACCAGCCGCAAAGAAGACTGCTTCCGCTACTGGAACTAAGAAGAGATCAAAGACCAGAAAGGAAACTTACTCCTCTTACATCTACAAGGTTTTGAAACAAACACATCCAGACACTGGTATTTCTCAAAAGGCTATGTCTATCATGAACTCTTTCGTTAACGATATTTTTGAAAGAATTGCCGGTGAAGCCTCTAAGTTGGCTGCTTACAACAAGAAGTCAACCATTTCTGCTAGAGAAATCCAAACTGCTGTTAGATTAATCTTACCAGGTGAATTAGCTAAGCATGCTGTTTCGGAAGGTACCAGAGCTGTTACCAAATATTCTTCTGCTGCTAATTAAATGAGGTTGGGTTAGCCTGTTTAGGTGTGTATATTAGTTTACTTTAATGAATATGAAATAATATATTATTTAATTTGTAGGATGTTTTGGGGTGATTGGGAAAACGTCGATATTGTGAAATGTATGTTCTGCGGTTTATTGTGAATTGAATGGTTTTTTGCAGGCATACTGTGTATGAAGTATTCAGATATTGTAAATATATTGATTGATGTATTGTAAGTATATATATGACGGAAACAGCTCATTGCACACGGTCAGACGCATCATCTTGGGCATCGTAATGCAATACAAGAAGCCAACAGCATAGAAGGTTGAAAAGATGGTGGATCCAGTAGGTATGACGGATGCCATACACAAGACAGTAGAAAACGTAGTAGGCCAAAATCGCTTGCGTGACCTTGTATTTGGTTTGAGACATCTTGGGCAATGACCTACTATTACTATACCGTTCCATTAGCAAAATGACTGGCAAGATTGCTAGAAAGTTGTGATGCGACGAAAAAGGCGTAGTCCAATTGATCGTCATGTTATGTACAAACACCACCAAAATGGGAACGTTTATAGGCAACACCCAAAGCATCAATATGAGTAGAGACAAGTGATAGTTCAAAATGCTTTTGTTGGTTTTATCGTCAACGAGAATTTTGATCACCTGTATCAGTTGTATGATGCAACTGATGACATAGGCGAATTGGTACGGCATGTATATTGGGATCACCAAAAGAACAAATAGCACACCAATGATTCGACGATTCGCCCATAGCTTGCCAGACCTTGGTTGCTTCTTCTCCGTTTGCGACAATTTTAATCGCTTTAATAAAACTCGACTAATTGATGCAAGCACATTACCTGCCACCAATAGCAAATAAAATGTCAACAGAACAATACCAAGACTCATGACAAAGAACACTGGACCTATGAACCATAAACTCTTCTCCTCCAATCCCAAGAAAAACGAATTTAGCTTAAACTCGTCAGTCAAACTTAAATTAATTTCGTTCGAATCTTGTAATACCACCGGATCGATTACGTTTAGAAATTTTTGTAATGGTTTTATGCTCATTATTGGTGTTAGTATCGATAATGTGAATAATATGCTCCCAAATACCCATGGTGAACATATGCAGCTTAATCCATATAAGAAAGTCGGGAACTTATTCGTTTCTTTGTAATGCTTTACCTGAAATACTAATGCTAATAAAATGATTGAAACGCAAAATGATACAGTTGCTAATCTATATCGTAATACCAATAGTCTTAAACTGTTCAATAAATCAATTCTTAACCGAATTGTTGTTAATGATTTATCCGGAATGGAGTCGGTCCATATTTCAATATTCAATCCGTATTCTTCTTTAGATTTTACTTTAAATGGAGTGTATGGGGCTATTCCATGCATATTCAATAATACTTGGTTATTCGCTTCGATATTGACATGCCATTTAACTTCATATGGCTCATTACTCCATTGCCTTATGAATGTACGAAACATTGGAATATATTCTGTAGTTTCTCGGTCTTCTGGCCACAGCACCTTCAACTTGTATGCTAATATACTACTCCAGGCTCCCGGAATTTTTATATTCATTGATAATGGCTTATCTAAAGGTAAAGAAAACTTTGCACCCCTTGTCATCAATGAAAATAGATCTTCATGTATATTAAATTGACTTGCATTATAGTCTGATAATTCTGCAAGCAAAAAATTTTCGTTGTCATTTGACTCCATTCCTAGTGAGCCAGTAACTATTACTGTATCATGTTCTTTTAAAATAGTAGAATTATATTGAATCGCATGGAATGGTGGCTTGTCTCCCCCGATGGATGATTCACTTAATGAATTTGTGTCAACTGCTGATCTAGGTATCATATTGCTATCATCACGGACGTCAATACACTTAAATATTGCAATCTCAGTAGTTTCTTTATTGGTAAAATCGATTATATTGCTATCTTCTTTAATAGTATCCATGGTATTGCATAATAAAATAGTTGGTTGTGTGTATCCTTCATTAACATCTGATTTAAGTTCACCAATATCCACGGAACTTAATAATGAAAATTGTACGTTTGATACCTTACGACTTGGTAATCTGAATACATTTATGGATGACGGCATCTTTCCTGGTGTAACCTTCAATTTTTGTCCCTCTTGAACATAATTTATTTGCTGGGAATCTGCTTTTAATAGTATATGATCCGCTGATTTATCATTAGCAACTTTATCTTGAGAGGTATAATCTTCAAACCCTGAAAGGAAGTTCCTTCTCATGATCTTCATTCTTCTTTCAAGGGAATATGTCTTGTCTGGTGATTCAAAGTCTGCAATTTCTAATAACGCTTTCAGTACTTGTCTACGAAGTTGTGCACACCATACTATAGCCAAATGGTCTATTGGAGTCCAAACACCGGGTATTCCTGTTGTATAAACCGTAAACCCATTTGTTGGTGGAACTAGGTAACCTAGAGTCGTGTAGTCTGCTGGTAAGATAGAATCTAACAATCCGCCAGTAATAGATATTAGTGATATCTTCGATAACCTCTCTTTAGCTATCTTTGCGATCGTGTTGTCTGTTTCTTTGTTGTCGTAACCTTGAAACCAAAACCTATCTACAGCTGAATAAATCTTTAATATATCGCCATCAAAAGTCAATGGAGCGGCAGCATGAGGTGAAGCTAAAGTAATTATAGTATTAATTGAATCAGGGATGTAATTAGGAAGTGAAACCATTACTCTACTTACCACACCACCCATTGAATGTCCTAAAACAACAACAGACCTAGGAGGGTGTTCACTATTTTCATATAACCCGAGAATAAACTTAATGGCCTCATTCAAGTATTCTGCCTGATCCAACAAAGTTCTGCCGTGGAATGCTGTAAAATCTTCATTGAAGTCTGCTGTGAAAAAATCATAATTCTTTGCGTTAGGGTTTAAACCGTCTGACTGATCCAAATAATGGTCAAAATATATATTGGATGTCTCTGCAGCTATGGACCTCACTTGTCTGTAGCTTCCTGCATTTCCTGGTATAAATAGTATTGGTATTCCTCCAAGATGTTTGAATCCTTCGTTTTCATCCGGAAGGGGATCTCTGCCCTGTTCTCTATAAAGATATAATGAATACTTGGAAGCAAATTTGGTATGACTTTCATCAAATGCTGTTATCCTGGCATATGAAGGACCCATATAAACTATTCTGCATCCTGGAGAATCCGCTCCTGTCAAGCCTCTTGTGTATAGATACCCGGTTAAATAGAATAACACCAAGCCGAAGAAAGATACCAAAGTTAGTATACTTCTATTAAGCCGTGACTTCCCTCTAGACTTAGAATCCATTTATCAGTTCACTGTATAGAAGTATATATATGCTCTTGGCTTGGATGTAGTCTTGGTTTACGCCAAAGCATATATATGACAGTTCTACATTTTTCATGCTCGCGAAACAAGTTCCAAAACATTTTTGGACGGACCGGTCAAGATGAGCAATATCTTATCACGTTCGGTCTCTACAAGCAGTATCGATAGCATATTACAGCATGAATTCATAAATATAATTACTCTAAATACGAAGATGTACCTCAGGAAATCCTCGGATATACAGCTCCAAGACCGTCTCAGAAAGCTTCGACTTCTTATCGCCTGCGATAACTTCGTTTATTCTGATGCAGATTTCTTTCCATATTGTTTTGCCTTCTCCTTGGGATCAATAGAGTTAGATTTGTCCTTACTTTCCTTCTCGTCTTTCTTGTTCTTCTCACCCATCTCCGCTTTTTTGTTTCCATTCGAGTCATCATCTTTTCCTTCCTTATCACCATTATCGAGTTTATCTTTATCTGATTCTTCTGATATGACTACCTTGTCTCCAATCTCCTCGTTAGAATCGAGTACCTTAATATTAACGTCATCTTTCAAAATACCTTCCATCTTGGACAATTTGACCAATTCCTTAATTTCACTCGTAGAAAAATGCCCATCTAGCGGAATTTTTCCATGTGGAATCTCAAACCCATCATCATCATATTCCACAGTATCATCTTCTTTCTCATGGGTCGTCGCCTCTTGTGTCTTTTCCGAATCCTCATTTACGTCCTTAGCATTTTGATGCACGTTATCATGCGAATGCTTGCCTTGAGAATGGGAATGGCCATTCCTGTCACTTTCATCCTTTTCCTCCTTTCCTGTTTCTTTAAGTTCTTTCTGCTTATCTTCTGCCTCATTCTCCTCTTCATCGTCATTTGAGTGCTGATATTCAGAGACAAGACTTTTTAATTTTTGCAATGTTCTTTCTTGTGGCGATTCTGACACAGAGTCTTTCTCGGGTTGTGTTATTAATTCAATTTTGTCCATTTTGTATTCTCAACTTGTTCTTTACTGATAATATATTTCAAAACAGACAATTCTTCGTTGACTTTTATGTCCCATAATTTGTTGTCACAAGTGACGTAATAGGAAAATGGTGTAAAGTAGGCGCAGGCACGTGAGCAACGATAAAATCAAATCCGCCATTATATGAGATTTACCCATTATGAACGACGCCTATCATCTATCTACTAGTAAGCACTATGGCAGATAAAAAAGATCTTACGTTGGAACAGTTACATGATCAGGTGCAAAGTTTGTCCAAAGTTGTGGAAATGCAATCCCAATTGATTGCTAAAACCGGGAAACAGCTCATGGACATACAAGTAAAGGATGTAAAGAGCAAAATGAATGCCGACACCGAGAAAAGTAGCTCTAAGGCAGCCAATGTAGACATGGATGATTACGCTACAAACGAAGATATCATTCAGTTGGTAGGCGAGTTACAAGGACAGTTGGATATGCTTGAAGACAGAAACATTAGAAGAACGATTAATTCTCATTTAGGCAGCGACGACAAGGGTGGTTTGATTGCTCCGATTGCTAACAAGGACGGAGATGAACCACCTGAGGATGTTTTTCCAGCAAATATTGGCGAACTTTTGAAATTGAGCAAATACGAAATTGTGCAACTCTGTGAATTTTACGAGTTGGTTATACCAATGGACCAACAGGAGCACTTGAAGGGCTTTTTGGAAAACAACAACGAGATGGTAGACATGGAGGGCGCAAAGAGGTTATTGGAAGTGGGTGCAGACAACGCAACCTTGAAGGAAAGAGTGGATGCTTATTCCGAAAAACAAATTGACGAATTATTCGATCTGTTTACCAGATTCATCGGAGTCAGAGCAAGAAGAGGCAAATCTGCCTGGTAATACTGCTGTCACTATCGAGAAATTAGTCTAAAAATGGTCGAGATGATGCTCGGTCTAGAGCCCAACTGAGTAGGCCTTAAAATGCGTCCCAAGGTCCGTAGAATTCAATAATTTGACGATCCCATAGCTCTACGGGCCGCATTAGTTGTCTGTAAAGTTTCATGTGTATTCATTAGTATAGACTCCGTGGGGACGTAAATATTCATAGGATATAGGACTTTAATGGACTTTTGGTAAATACACGCTCTCTTGATTTCAGCAAAGGGCCACTCAATTTTCATTGACGTGTTGTTAGTGTAGTGATAGTATTAGAGAACGTACAATTGATCAACGTAATAGTTACTTGCAATGGATGAACAAGAAACGACACAGGAGCAAATTAAGATCTCCATTTACACCCCATTAATATATGTTGGGGTATTGTTGACATGTTTCATTGCCTTTTCGATTATTTATAGACGTAAGAAGTTGAACAAGTTAACCAAGGTGGAACCAATCTTTTCAGACAATCATACATTAAACTTATATTTATTCCTAAAGCAACAATATAATAATCCTGAAGCGACTGCCGAGACAAAACCACACACTAAAGTTATGAAAGCGGCATTGTTGAGAAGAGGTGTGGAAGCTATTAGAAGATCGTTGAAATTAAAAGAAAACGAACCAATCTTTAACAAATTATACCAGGAGGGCTTAATCGGTGATGATGTATTCAAGAACTTTCAAATCCAGGCCAAATTTCAGGAGATAGAATTGAAGGAGATCGTGCAAGAATGTGAAACATACAAGAAGGGTTGGGTTCAACAATTTTTCCCGGTGGCGCAAGAAATTTGCTTTAATGAAGCCTTAAGAAGAAGGTTAAATTCCATGGATGAAAGATCAAAGAGTTTGTCCGACTTGTGGCAGTATTACGTGGAAAAATCCGAAGCCCCACAAGCCGTAGATGAAAAATCAAATGCTGCCAAGCTTGCCAAAGACAAAACCAAGTCTGCCTCTCAATCTGGCTCTAACACTCCTGAAAAGGTGGTTTCAGATCCTGATACTGAAGCTGTGAATGAATCCAAAGATGATGGTGATAATAAAACTTCAAAAACTAATAAGAAAAAGTCTGGTAAAGGAAAGAAAACATGATTTATATCAATTGCTAATAAATTATCTGTAATATAATGCCTCTTTAACCCTATATGTATATATACTTATATATATTAAATCAATTTTTGTATAATTTAAGAACAGGTCAAAATGGTCGATAACTATATATTGCGAACTTTTTCGAGACTCAATTATGAAAACAAATCATAATCACAAGTTATGGTCTATTGCATTTAAAGTAATACTACAGTCTATTTATTGTGTAATAATATAAAATCCAACACAATTTGTAAGATCAATTAATAGCGTGATCTTTTCCATAACGATTACAATTTAAGGAAGTAAATTTTCACTTATTTGGCAAACAAACAAATCAAAACACAACCATGTATCCTAGAGGGTCTAATCAAAACCAAAGACCACCTCAGAATCAAAGGCCACCACAGCTGAATCAGAGACCAGTAGCTCAAACTCAGAGAGCACCTTTCCAACAACAAAGAAATCAATTTCCTCCGAGAAATCAACCCTCAACATCATCCCATGATAGCCTAGAACAACAAAGAAGAATGGTAGCAGATAAATTGATTGCTGATTGCTATTCTAAAAGAATTCTTGATAGAAGTGGTAAACCATGTGTTGAAACGTCGTATCAAACTCATGTTAGTATCAAGGAATATTCGTCATTTCCTTCACGACCACCTCCAGACAACCTTCCACCTAATCAAATTGGAACGGTCAAAGACCGTATTTTGGTTCTTTGTATCAAATACTCTGGTAGAGTATTGATACAAAAGGGGAAATATAATGAAAATAAAGACGTCTATCAAATTGGTCGTACATGGGATATGGATGAATTGAAAACCATTACTAAGTGTGGAACTAATGGAATTATCTTAACTTTGAATAAGGACTATTATTGGAGTGTAGAAGGGGGCATGGAAAGAATTTGGAAGTTTGCAAGATTTTTGACAAACGCATACGGTGGATTTATGGGCAGATACCCAACATTGAATGGTTTTTCTATCGAGGATTTTAAATTATCCTCTTCTCCACAAAAAAAGCATTTGGGAAATTCATCTCCTAGCATGGGTGGAAATGATAGTGGTAACGATATTGTTGTTAATGAACCACAACCACATCCTCAATTATTGAAAACCAAATCATTGAAAAGAAAGAACTTACCAAAGCCGGTTTTACCACCGCAGCCTCTTCCTCAACAGACATATCCTGAACAGGAAAAGCAAAGAGATTTCTATAAGGATATGGATTTTACTGCAAATGGGAAATTACCTTCTAAACCTATGAAAGTAATGCAAGTTGATAGACCTTCGACGTCGTCACTTGACCAAGTAGAGAACCAGAATTCATCGACTAATAGATTCAATCAATCAGGAGAATTAGAAGAAACAAATGAAGAATTTGTTGATAATTACGTTACTGTCGATGAAAACGAACCATCGAATGTTCCCACTACGCCTAAACGCGATTCCAAGCATCCCTATCAAGTTAACTCTCCGCGTAGAAGCGCTGATACTACTCAGGATTCACAGAACTTTGTTTTCCATGCTAATAATACGTACTCGCCTGAAAAGCTTAGAGAATATGTGAAAACAAATGAGGAGAGATCAACATCGCCATTACGAAACTATAAGCCTCGAAGGATGTCCACCGAAGTTGAACAAAGAAAAGTGTCTGAGCCTTTAGAATCGGCAGCAGCCTTAGGCGTTCAGCTTGAAGAGCAACTTGATGGCGTTGCGTATAAAGACATTTCTACGGATTCTGCACATTCATTCCAACTTCCTGCTAGAAATGTTTCGCCTGACTATAGTATCGAGGAAGTTGAAAATGATAGTGATGAAGAACAAGAAACACAACATAGGGCTTCAGTTTTCGAAAGAAAACAAGCTCCAATTGATCAAGAAGAATCTATAAACCAGTTTGGTAATCAACCTCACAATGCTCATGTAGATAATACGATAGACTCTTCTATACAAGATATTGAAAATTACATGGACTCTCAACTTTATTTTGCTCCAGGTGATGAATCAATTGATACCTCAAAACAAATTAGTCAGAATCAGACTCTTGAGAGTGAGATAAGTCAAAGGGAAATTAGCGAGGGTAATATAGTACCTGATTTACTGCAAGGGAATGATCTGGAGTTTAGAAGTGATCAATTAGAGGATGAAACAACCTCTATGCAAGAATATACTGAACAATCAGAAGTTGGATTGAATGTTGATAATAAAGATTCTGAATTTCAAAGGGAAAAGGATGCAGAGTTAGAAGAAATCTTGGATGAAGTCAATTGGTCTATATCAGATAATAGTGATTCCTTGATCAGAAAGTTGACCAAGGAATTAAACAATGTGAAATTTCGTAATGTCAAAGATTTAGTTACCTTAGATTTCGGTAAAGATTCAGTTTCTAATGATGTAACAACATCAATAAGTGAGATTGAAAATTTAACTCATATTTTCAAAAAAATGGAAATAGATTTCAAATTTCTTGGGCCCGAAGTCAATTTGATTGAAAATAACTCTAAGGGTCTCCAGGTAAAGTCGGTGAACAAGAAATTATTGTATAACGATTTAAGTAGCATATTGAATAAGGTTAGTATGCATTCCGATGATTTACGGGCTATCGAATCATTTAAGGAATTCGATAGATTGAATAAGTTAGAAGATATTGAAGTTAAATTGATTGGATTATTTAATGCGTTAGAAACGATAAGACTTGATTACAATGAGAATACAGATAGCTTAAGTTCTATGAGAGCTTTGAGGCAATACCAATCAAATTATGAACGTGTTACGTCTAATTTTATTAGACATTTTAATCGCTTCATAAAAGATCAATTCAGATTATTTTCTCAACAAATGATGCAGAATATGGATAGTTTTTATCCTCAAGCCATGTTTAGAGAACTTAACAATCTTCTAATTTATTCGGGTTTCACTTACTTTGTTAAGGGTGTTTCTCCTAGCGATTTTCAAGATATAAATGGGAACTTTAATCTCATGATGAGCGATTTATTAGAGAGAATGATTACTCACAAGTTAAAAAATTTGAAGTTTTCGTCGTCATCAGTATCTGCACATCTTTCGCAATCTTTAGATAATGATATGCCTCTAAAGAAGTCAAGAACATCGAGATTATCGACAAGACGTGAAAAGCATATTAGCAAAGTAAATCAAGAAGAATTTCAAGGTTTAAAACAAAATAAGAATTCGAACGAAATCGACGATCCAAAAGCCGTTGTTGATATAATAAATAGCACGAGAGATGTGATATTTGTTTTGCAATATGTCACGGGTAGGTTATTCCATTATGATAGTAATATTATCGATTTTAACGAATATTGTCAGAATAAACCTTACCAAGAAAGACGCAGTGCTCTTGATAATCCGTCGTTAGATATCGAAGATGATATGAACTATTCGAATGATTCAATTTCTAATTTGAATGCAGTATTCGGTGGTTACATTAACATCTTCATGAAAAAAGTTACTCCAACAGAATTAAATATACCATTACTTTTATGCTATTTGCAGAATTTGCTTGATGAAAATAAGAAATCTAATCAAGAATTCTTATGCTTTAATTTTTTGAAAAAGGCTTCAGACAAGTTCAGAATTATTTGGTCAAAATTTATCAAGTCTCAATTGAACTTATTGAATAAATCTGCAATCATTGCCCATTGTGGTATATTACCTGCTATTAAGAATGTTAATCAAGTGGTGTTGGTTACTGAATCCTCGTTAGACCAACCAGGTAGACTCTTTGGTAGTCTCGACCAATCCCAAGTAAGGGCAATGTTAGCCGAATCATATAAAGAAATTTCCGAGGCAACTATTCACTTGTTTATGAGAGATGATCCTTTATTGAAAAATCACGATTTTGATGATAAAGAAAGAGAACATCGTAATGTCAGTATAATCCAAAACATATTCTATCTTACAGAACAGTTAGCAGTATTTAGTTCTCCTGGAATAACAAAGATGAGAACGCAATTGAATTCTGTCTTCAACAAGGTTTTAGATTCGTACTTCAATAAGCTTCTTCACAAGAATATTGGTAAATTGGTGGAATTCGTTGATAATTATGAAGCTTTAGTAAAAATGAATAATGGTAAGCCTAAGAAATACAATAAAAAATATGTTAAATCATTGTTGACAGGATATACTTCGAAGGATGTATCCGTTAAAGCTGCTGAAATTCACAAGAAATTAGAGAAACATTTCATAACTGGTGGCGATATGTTTGAGAAGGACCTATTTGATAAGTTGTGGACAGATATGGAATATCAATTTATTGACTACTTTTCAAGATTAAACAATATCCTTAAGAATGACTTTGATAGAGAAATTGACTATGCAATTACCAAACAAGACATACATTCAATATTTGTATCTATTCACTAAAATAAATTAACTGTATATTACTGTTCTAAATAAGATAATTATTATTGCTAATTTTGCTGTAGCTATTCCAATATGTGCGATCGGAATTTTTATTTGCGAAAATATGCTCGTCGTTTTTTAATGCGTAGCAGCAAGACATAATTGCAATACTTAGATAACGACTACCCAAATAGCATACATCTGTAAGTAAATAGTTTCATGACAAAAGAAATTTCCGAAATAATAACATTCACTATGTATTTATTAAGAAATGTTTTTTCTGGAATTTCTACAACAATTAATAAGTATTTTGTATTATTGACCGTTTTTGCAGTTATTTGATAAAATTGTAAATGAGATTCTTTCCAGATCATCTAATAAACTGATATATATTTAATTATAAGTTATTGTATATATGTACTTCATACCTATGAGTATATATTTACAATTATGTTATTCTTATGTAGTTACTCCGTACATCTAGTAATACGCTCCTCTCCCTGAATACTCGTCTCTCGCATTCAGACTTAATGAGTCCCCAAAAGGCTCATATGGTTTTACACGGCTACTCGGTATGCTACTACCAAGGGGCCATTTTGAATCTTTATCAATATCTTGCCAGGCTGATATTGTATC